ACTGCCGCTGTGATTTTTCAAACTGAAGCTGCCGCTGCTGAAGGAAGGACTGCATCTGCTCGAATGAAATGGCCATGATTGTTCAACACCTCCTTCGCCACTGTTGTAAACGCTTCTATTTTCACTGTTGTAACGCTTCTTTCTTTATTTTTATCAAGATGTAACAGCTGGCGATGTGTGGCGTCGGGTTAGAACAATTTTTCCCCATTGTATACATCTAGGTCTGGTCGATGAATTCTAAGTAGGAATCGGATTACTGCATCACCATATTGCAGACGGAATCCGACGCACCACGTGTAATGAATGGCGGATCTACCAGTCCATTCATAGCAAAACATAGTACGGGTAATGCATCAACACTGAAACTCTGCAGTTGTGGCTACCCTCCACTGTAATCGTATCGAGTATAACCTATATAAGCCTAGTGTGAGTTCTTATTCTAACGCGCATCGGAATTTGATAGAAGACGAGCACAGGCATACTAAACTCACCGAAGTTCACCGGCGCCAGTACACTATCGGGCGCGAACAACACGGTTCTTATGCGGAGTGCACCTTCCCTACGAAAACTGGAGCTAAAGGTCCAGATTTATCTGCGCAGATCTCAACGGAGTTTCCTCAGTGCGAATGCGGCCAACGTATCTTGCACCGTTCCAATGGAACTCGTCCCAGTGTCCCGAATGTATCTGTTGGGTTTTTCTCCAGTCTACAGTCTGCCTTAGGAGCTGTGTTCCCGCCAATGCCTTAACTACCGAGCACACTAGACAACTGTGATGAGTCTAACATCTCAACAACACCGCCTCCACCCAATCTGTGCTCAGAGATACGGCCACAACCTAGCAACGCTTGTGCAAACAAACCTGCGCCTTTCTTTATTTGGGTCTCTCCAATTGTCATGCGGTTGTGGCAGCCATCGAAAACGTAAGTACTCACCGACTTCGATAAGTACGTCCCTCATATTGGATGGTTTCGCCTAGGATAGATCCGTCTAATTAAGACCTGCGGTACCTTGACTAAAATAGTTGAACTCAGTCCATTCGGTTCTGTTTCTATTCTGTCGCCCGCGTTAGCTTCACCACAACCGGCACCACGGTATCATTTTGGTTTCCCTATCAGCAGTTTGAGCATGTCTGCTCCGCCAATTCACTTGGCAGGCATCCTATTCCCCCCAAATCACTGCACCCGTTTTCGTCAAAATCACTCAACTGTTCTCCACGAATTCGGAATACTAATTACGCCATTCCATCAGCACCAGCTCTCAGTCGATCCAATCGGCCGAGTTAACTGGTGGTTACACTTAACCGCCGACGATGAGTGTAAACAGATGGGAGGCGGCGCAGCGGAAGAGGGAAACGCATTCGTCTCTTTGCCAATGTGCATCCGTTTTCCCTCACTCAGGCCTAATTAAACATTACGTTGGTTCACGCACACCAAATGAACAGTTTAACGAATTTGAGTTGATCAGTGCGCCTCCGTGATAGCAGCAAAATATCGCAGTAATTAATTTAGCCGCCAGCGAAATCACCGGCCCGTGAGTTCCCAGTCACTCTGCCACCACCATAGAGTGAACTTAAACCGACTCAACCCCCGGGTGGGATGGGGGCTGCTGAATTTTTTGAACCTGCATACATGCACACTGCGACTCACCACCTGTCAGCACGTAAAAGGCGTAGAGTAAAACGATCAATCATTCCTCACCCCACGACTTCTGTCTTAAGCATTCGGTCTCGATTGCAAGCCTGGGTACAGACAGAGTGGTTCCAGCTAAACCGCAACCCTGTCCTCACCGTGCCGGGTGGCGGGCGATTTAACCGGCGAGCCGGACTGAGTCGTCGTTCTGATTGGTAGGGAAGACGACGACCGCACACGAGAGTGAGGCGAAATCACATAATGGGGAAGAGTGTTAGGGTGTTAGCACACGAGACAAAACCCATCTGTAGAGTGACCATAAAGTTCGGTCTCATGCCCAGTTAGAGGTAGCGGATGAGATAAGCACATTGTCCAGTCGAATAATAGTCGAGGGCTGGTGGATCGCCCATCAGTGTTGACTGTGGGTATTAATTAGCCATCGCTTGGTTTTGTGACCAAGCGGGTACTTGCTTTTACTGGGCGTGGGTTGAAGAGGCAATTAGCTCCCATTCCTATCCCCTCCACACAGGCCGACTGATTACTTGTGCAAACAACGCGACAATGCAAATAGCGCGTTTGGCCGAATGCATAGCTTAATCACATTAAAAATTCGGAGACTTTTCAGCGACAACTTGTCATCGAAAAACAATTCCCACTACACTTTGGGCAGGGCAAGTTTGCTTTGGAGACGGCTTCCCTTGATGATTATTGTAAATAAAGACAAATCACACATCGAGCAACGAAGTGCGCAAGGCTAATTCACGTGTTCACCGAGCGCTCATGAGTAATTCTGTGAGGTGATAAACCGGAAAGTATCAGTGCCGCCTACAGCCTCGTGTAGTGGATAATCTCGACAACTACCTTACGAATCGATCGTTTTGATGTTGGAAGATTTGACATCGTTTATCCGTGCATCAATTGAATGAGCGTTTGCTTTACCTCGTCTCCTTAGGGTATGTTAAACTCTATGCATGCGACACTAGGGCAACGTTTGTGAAATGGCTCACAGTGGAAACGAAGTAAAGCAACAGAAGATGTCGACCTGATAGCACGTGCCATATTGTGACAAGAACCTTGTCCAGCGCATCGACCGTGTAGATGTAAGTAAATCGCCACTGAGTGAGTGAGTGATATCACTTCACGCGCGTACGCAAGTACGGTCAACGCTGGGCCTGCACTGCCCAGGTAACCTGGTAACGACCAACTGGACAGTCTACTCTAGCTGAGCGGCGAATTTATGGCGCTGCCGACTGGCTTGGGTTTTGTGTTCCACCACGTCTGCTGGTTCAGCATGTAACAGAGTAGCCTGTGCACACAAGTTTCAGAGCGGTCTTATCAACACTGAACGTATACTATGGGGGTAAGAATGCATGCGCCCTAATCACAGTTCAAATGTTTCGGGTCCAAGTTCGTTTATCCCTACCCATGAAAACAAGCAAGCACAAATCGGGTATTAAATCGTAGATTTAGGACAGAACTCCAACTGACATTTGAACAATGGAACAATGGTTTATTACGGGTAAAAAAGCATTACTTAACAAGTTCCGTGTGATGGAAATAATTGCGAAAACTAATTGCATAATAAAGTGAAAAGTGTTGTGGTGGACTCACCACAGACTTATGTGAAATAGCGAAGATGTTCGAGTATTAAACGTATAAATCCATAAATCCATTGGTTAGGCGTTTGGCAAGATACCGTTTGATTGCGTTTTGTAGCCCCTGGCTAACAAGTCATAAAATGAAATGTAAGTGAGACAATGCGTCGTCAACACGTTTTTTAAATATCGCCAGATTGGGAGCAGTGACGACATAATTAGGGAGGGCGTTCCAAGGCTGGCATACACGGAGGGAAAAGAAATTTCTACGGCATTCAAGCCGGCTATACTGGATTGTCAGTTTCCGAGGGTGACCTCTTAGTTTAGCGTTGTGGTGCAATTCCAGCAGCGGACGGCAATGTGGTTTGGGTTCTTCAGCACCTGGTAAACCATTATGAGATCCCTCCGCAAAAGCCGATATCGACTGCTGTAGATGTTTAGAGATTTCAGTCTAAGCTGATAAGGGAGATGAAAGAGGTCCCTGACGTTCTTGGTTGCCCTCCGTTGAGAAGTCTTGAGAGCAACGAGATCCTGTTTCTGCCACAGCTGCCACTCCTGAATAACATATTTCACATGAGGTCACACGTAGGCGTTAAACATTTGGGGAAAGATTGAAGGTTCAAACCGACCGAAAGCTCTGCGAAGAAGGCCAAAGTGTTGATTGCCGGTTCTCGTCGCCTGCTCTGCATGTTTTGAACACCCGACATCTTCCTGTACCAATACACCAAGATCACGCTCCTGAGAGATCTTCTCCAATGTGTGGTCTCCAAGCTTGTAAGCGCTCACCAGCTGGTGACGCAGATGTATTACTTTGCCCTTAGCTATGTTCAGTTGAAGCATCTTCTTCTTTGGCCATTCGTAAATACAATCTAATTCATGTTGGAGCAGATCCTGATCTGGCATTTTAATAATCGCCCGCCATATATTGACATCGTCGCCGAAAGTATGTATGCAAGGGAAGCACACAAATTAAGTCACTGATTAACCCATTTTGTGCTGGCGTTTTCTAATGACATTTCAAAACATTGCTTAATGCACTGAGACAACGTAGTAATAGTTGTTTTTTGATTGAAGTTGTAGGAGAGACACTAGTTCTTATTAATCTGAAATCATTTTTACCATTCCAAGTTTGTCTTAATTAGTTCAACGCTTAAATCACATTTTATAAAGTGTCTTATAAAAGGACAATAGCAAAAAGGAGTCAAAAAAGAAATGCGGTGTGTTTTTTGTTCCATGAAGATCGCGAATATTGTGTCCAGATTGTTTTTCATATTCCGGAGAGCTAGACTAAGTGGGACAATCACCGCCTGCTGAGCAATGCACTGGGCTACCTTAAATACCAAAGTTGTCCACAGCTAGATTTTGAGGTGTCCCCTTGCGATTGACAATATTGGACCGAGGGGGGAATGCGACAACCGACATGACTGAGAAGTGAGCGTAATTACACGTGGCTTAAATTGTGCCACCGTGCATCTCGGAGGGCAAATTTGAAGGTGCGCAGTTCCTTAGTAATCATCCAATTATGTTACAGAAGATGGAGCCAGTTCGGGAACTTAATGATCCACAGAAGCAGCAGGATTAATTAGACGAGATTTTAGAGGAAATATGTTTACTTCAAATACACGAATATTATTGCTTACACAATGCACCTGATGATGCAGCACGCGGCAGGTTGTATGTGCTCCAAATGCCGCACTATCAACTCTGCGTATAGCTGGCCGACGTGGAGTAGTATTGACACCTGAATCACGCAATCATGTGTACTTCACATCTTCAGATTCGTCTTTCGCATTGGCACCGAATTACTTCGCAGGAAAGACACGGCGCCCTCGAACAGCCTTCACCAGTCAGCAGCTATTGGAACTGGAACAGCAGTTTCTAGCCAACAAGTACCTGTCTCGGCCAAAACGATTCGAAGTGGCCACCTCACTGGGACTGACGGAGACGCAGGTGAGCATTTTGATAAACGGCCTTTACATATTATCGTGTTCAGCTCCGTGGTGCGGTTGACATACTTTCTTTGTATTCCGCAGTGCTCCAGTATGGTTCACCAGAAACAAACACTATTTCATCAGGAGCAATATGTTAGAAACAAGTAAACTGGGACCGCTAAAAGCTGACTATGTGCCATACCAACGGACACAACCATACAAGCCGATCAGCGAAATAAAACAGTTTTCGGCCCGATTGGTGGTTGTATGGGTGACGGGCTGGGTATACGGAGTGCTGTAGCCGTGGATGCGGTTCATAGTTGGACCGTTTCAATCCGATTAGGATGTTTGAACCATGCCAGAGTACTCGCAAAGTCAATCGCGAAATTTCACCACTTAAGACAACATTCGGAACGGCGACAAGATGAAGAAGTAACGAACGCATCGCAGATCGACAGATCTCAAGTCTGCGACGTAGCGTCAGCTAGTGTTGAATACGCGTTTCATCTCCCTTACTCCTGGACTTACTCACATCACATTGAACGCAGTAACCCTAAAGAGGAGGTTAGTTTTAATGCGCACCTGCAACTGCTACAGTCCCCTAAAGCGCATAAAAAGGGATGACCGAAGCCTTATCGTGCCTCATCCGATATTTCTTGGGTAGACAAGTGACACCTGCTAAGTGCAAACACTATTTAATTACTCCCATTTTAATGGCAACAGTCGCTTAGAACCCGTAAACCATCACTCAGTGATTCCGCTCCCGATGCTGTCAAAGACGATGGAAGTCGTCATCGTGGTGACTTTAGTCGATCAGTTAGAATTCTGCAGTATCATAGCACCTGGATATCATGGCCCTCGACAACACCGGTCATGCACTATCAACTTGTTGATTACATGAAGTAGTTAAACGGAAGCGGCCGACATTGGAAATGGAATCGATGTCATCTTGTAGCGAGAACGACACGACAGGGGGGCAGACGTTTATTGCACACCGAAAATGGGCACATAAGGGTCTCACGCGCGCCACCGAATATCAACTAGATTTCCGCCCCACCACGCAACACAGGTACGGGTGTTAGAGACGAGCCAGTCCTTTCGCCTCGGGAGCTCTGACTTGGAAGTCCCGCCTTCCTGTTTTCGCCTCGAGCTCCACTTCTCTGTACCCGATTTGGATCGGCCAGGAGTCGTTCGAGAGCTCTCGACTTGCTTGTTCTAGGTTGTGTCAATCGGCTCGGCCTCGATCCTGTGGGCTGCGCTAGCGGCGTATTTGTCTGCTTTATTGCGCTGTTCACATATTCCCGCTCCGTAGTTCCGGGCCCAGGCTCGTCGATAGCCGTCCTTCTCGATCTGCTCTCAGCTAGCTCCGAAGAGCTCCCCCGAGGCATTCTTGGAAGCGGCCCCTCTACAATCTGCTTTGACATTTCCATAGTTTCCAACTGCGAGCAACCACTGCGAGCAATCAGTAAGCTAAGGTTTCAGGGGTCTTTGGGTGAGGTAGGAGTTTCATGCGTCAATGACAAGTGCGGATTATAGTTTAGAGCGTAGAGTGCGATCCGATTCATGCCAACTGTGGAGTCTTACAAGAGTCTGTGCGGGGGCCACGCGTATTCCTTGTACTCTTTAATGATTTGGTGCGTGTGTTCGTCTCACATGTCTCACCGTTCGATAGTGAGGTCAAGATATGACGAGCAATTGTCAAGTAAGGAGGGTATGAGGCACTGCAATGAGACATAAACAACATCTATGTGTGGTCATTCAAGAATCAGCTGTACTTTGAGTGTTATAAAGGTAAAGTGACTAGTGTATGTCATAGACAGATCAGTGAATATAGGACCAGAGAGTGAGTTCTGCAAGCAACTTCCCAGCAGCGTAATTCTCGTTCACTATTTCGGCATGACTTCGGCTGTTTGATACAATCCCAGATGTCAAAGGTGGGAAACCAACACGTCAGTCATCTGAGACGGGCATTCCATGCGGTTGATTCATTCATCTGCCCACATAGGTTTAAAACCTACGCGCGGTCTCAGGTGGAATGGTTGGCGACATCCGGTTCCGAAGTTGCCTGTTGCTGCGGTCTCCATAAGGCAGCCACAGGACACCTGCGCCCACAGAGGGACCATGGGTGGCTAGCGCTGCACCACCCACAGCTCCAACCACACACCCCATATCCAGTGTAAACCCGAAGACCAGGAAGCATGGGGATGGGAGCCAGGTTTCGTCAACCGAGTCGGCACACACTCCTTCACAGGCAACCACAAGCACGCTGTATTTGGGGAATCAACCGCACACAAGGCGGTGGCTGAGCCGTAGTCTGCTGCACACAGGATGGAACCATTCTGTGTGCCTAGCACGGCCACGAGAACCGTGCACCCCGTCCGCTCCAGCAACGACTCACTGTCTTCTGGAGCCAGTGTAGATGAGCTAATAGACAGGTGGGCATCTTGCCAACACGTACATCAAGCGCGGCCACGCCGGGGATGTTAAGTGACCACCAATCACTTGAAATGATGGAAAACACCAATCGGATATGCCGACATAACTCTTCGTTACATTAGCATATAAATAAATAGGTTATCAGCATATCTGTGATAAATCTAAGATGGCAGGACCAGAGAACAAAATCTGTGCAACAAAGCAGAAAAAGTAAACGAAGTTAACCACCTTTCGTTTAAGCGAGATTCATGTAAACATTAAAGTGAGGTAACAAAATAAGCACTAAGAAAATATAGCAAACTAATCACGAGAAATAAAGACTCAGCACGCGGTTAGTAAGGAGAATGGAAATGCATGCAGCATGACTCTCAGCATTGCGCCGGTTTTGCTTACGTTCTCAGCAGGAAACGTCTTTTCGATGCTGTTTCCGAGTGGCCTCGATCCTGGCTTACTAGACCTGCCTGACTCAGGCACTTGCGACCGCAGGTGCTACAACACGATGCGCTCGACGTCAATGGAGTACAATCAATCGGCGAATGTCGCTTCCGCACCTGTCGCGCTTTCGCCGTATACACGAGGGCTTGCTCCTGCACCTCAGCACTTGCCTTCGTGATCAGATCGTGCCATGCACGCCGATCAACCGCTTTAGATTCACAACACCTGAGAACGACATTAGAACGTAATAAGGCTACCCTTTTCATGTTCCGGTAACGAAGTTTCGGTTACCCCACATACCGCTTCACCACACTCAGCAGACCACATAACAGTTGCTTTGGTATCCGCATCGAATCCATACGTCACACATGACCGGGCCACCTCAGGTGTCTCAGCAAAACTATGCAGTCCACTGCATACATTCCACATCGGCGCAACACCTCGGTGTCTGCAACTCTGTTGCACCAGTCGATGAGTAGAATCCTTCGCAGACACTGTTGATGAAACCGCTCGAGATATCGCACATCCCGCCGGTACATCGTCCACATTTCGCTGCCGTATAACAGAACGGACAGCACAATGGATTTACACATCATAAGTTTTGTGCTAACGGTAAGCTGGTGGTAGTTCCACACTTGATATTCTAGCTTCCTGAATGCCTCAGCTGCCTTCGATACGCGGATACGAAGTTTACTGTATATTTGCTGGTTACTCGAAACCACAATCCTAAGGTAGTAGAAGCGGGAGATGGTTTCCAGTACGTCATCCCCAATGCTGATTTGTGGCACTTCTATTAGAATGAGCCTGGGCATTAACGTAGTGCTACGCCTTGACCCATTGAGTTATACCGGGTGGTGCCTCCGGGTCCCTTGAGAGCTAATCCTAACTGGTTGGTCAATGGAGAAAGGTTAAACAAACTCAGTCTCCTGGTCCTCCATATTAGGGTTTGAAATTGGATGGAGTCCATTTCTGTAAAACTAAATCATTGCCACCTCCACGCTGTCTGGCGGACAGGCTTTTGAGCCAAAGGCTGAATGAGGACCCTAATCGTCCTCCTGTCTAGGTCTGGACGCCCTGGCAGTATCTCAGCCCACATACAACCATGACATTGTCTTCAAACATAAACTTCATCCTGCATCGGCCGTCGCGCAGCTTATCAAGGGTCGCCTTATCTGCTGCATACAGCAGGGCGGATAAGCGAAAACATACTACTGCTGGCGCCCCCTACATTCTTTTCCACCTGTTTCTCTTACTCCCATCCAGACCCCCATTACTAACATTCCTTCAATAATTCCCAGCTTGATTGACAACAACCGAAGTGTCCCTGGGGTAAAGCCATCTGCAGGCACCTTCTCGAGACACGCACCGGACGACTATTGGCAACAGTCCCTTATAAGGCCACGCTGTCCAGTTTCCATGGCGGCGTTCAACGTTCGCACTCTAAGACAAATAGGTCAGCAAGCTGCACTCGCACGCACTTTGGACACACTGGGTATTGATGTGTGTTGTGTGTCCGAAACTAGGATCAATGATTCTAATGTGGTTATTGAATTAACTTCACCCGGCTTATCCTCTCGTTATTGGTTGCACGCATCCGGAGACGCCGATGCAGCACTCACGGGTCAAGCTGGTGTAGGTATCGTTCTAAGCTCCAAGGCTGAGCCATCGTTGGTTGATTGGATTCCGGTGAACAGCCGTTTATGTGCAGCCCGTTTGACGATATCAGCTAAGGTTGATTCACGAAGTAGTACAAAACGCTGTTTGTTTGTGATTTCCGCTTATGCTTCCACCGACTGCAGTTCAAATGCTGTCAAGGACACATTCTATGACGAACTGAACGCGCTACTACGCAGTGCTACTAGTTCAGATATTATACTAATTGCAGTGGATATGAACGCACAAGTAGGGCGTCTGTGCTCTTCAGAAGCTCAGCTGGGTGGTAATTGTGGGCTTAACTCCGAACGGAGTGACAACGGCGAGCGTCTGCTGCAACTGTTTGCGGAGCACCAGTTGTTTCTTAGTAGCACTGCTTTTAGACACAGTGGGCGCCGAAGTGTCACTTGGCGTCCTCCTGTAGCTGGCCAGCGATGGACCCAAATTGACCCCATTGCTGTAAGTTACAGGTGGCGTGGTTCCATCATGGATTGCCGCTCGTACTGGAATACCTGAGTGGAGTCTGATCATGCCCTGGTACGCTGTCCTTCCTCCATGAACTTTACCGGGAGGCGCACCAAGCGTCTCCTCTGACTGGCAACAGTTGTTTCAGTCTCTCGGTCAGACAGTCCTA